AATTTAAAATTTAATAGATTTTTAATCATTAATGTTCTTTTCAAAAAAATTACGGGTAGTTTTGACCATTAAAGGTTTTACCTAAATCTATACTTTAAAGTGAGTATGATATTTTTTATAAAATTTTAGTTTTTTAGGGGTTATTAGTAATTTTGTATATTCATTTTTGTGTCCATAGGTTAAAAATTCTCATTGTATTTTTTTATAAATTATGAATTTTAGGGGCTTTTTATAATTTTTTAAACTTATAAGCCTTTTCTACAGATTGTAAATTATTTATAGACTATTTATAATTTATGCTTTCAATTTACTAATGAGTTTGAAATTCTTAGGGTGTTATTTATAAATTTTAAATTTTAAGGTTTTGTTTGTAATTTTTAAAACTTCAAGAGTGTTTTCTTTAAATTATAAATTATGTAGGGGATATTTATAATTCCTATATTTTCAATGTACTATTAGGTTATAAATTATCAGAATTTTTATAAATTTATAATTCTGAGGGTATTATTTTACAATTTGTAAAAAGTTGAGTGTTTATTGTAAATTTTATAATTTTTTGGGGGCTGTTTGTGTTATTTGTAGGTTTTTAGTATGCTAATAAGTTTGAAATTTTGAAGGTGTTTTTTTATAAAATTTGAATTTTTATGGGTGTTTTTGTAATTTTTAAAACTTACAAGATATTTTCTCTAAAGTCAAAAAACTTTTAGTTTCTAGCTCGCATATATTTTTTTAGATTTCTCACTGAATTGAAATAGGTAAAATTTATAATTTTTTAGATGTGGTAAAATTTATAATTTTCAAGATGTTTTAATAAAATATTAAATTTGTAGGGGTGCTTTTATAATTTAAAAAACTTGATGCGACATAAACATGTACCAAAAATGTTGCAAGTGCACAACCGTGTTAAGTTATAGTATAAAAAGTTATTGATCCCACGAGGAAGGTGTTTTGTAGAAGAAAATTAAAATTGGTTCTTATGTTGTGTGCGTGACAATTAGGAGTGATGAGTGAATGTGATTATGGAGATAGAGAGAGTGAAAGTGATAGTGTATAAATTGGCATAAAATGTAAGTGAGAGTGGATGTGACAAAGAATGAATAATTTCACCAGAAAAGATGAATAAAATCAAGAATCAAAAAGGAGAATTAAGAATAAAAAGAAAATTCAAGAAATTAAAGATGGTGGATTCAGTTAAAGAAATTGGTAATCTAGAATTGAATCCACTTCTTAGAAAATGGTGATTCCCTAGAGGGTTCTAGCCTAAAGGCGAATCACAATAAATAAAAATGAACAAAAAAGAAAACTAAACTCGAGAGGGTTCTAGCCTCAAGGTGAATAGTACAAAAAAATAAAATCTAAACTACAAAATAAATTACAAAAACTAAGCTACAAAATAAATTGTAAGAATTAAATACGAGAAAATAAAGACATGAAATAAATCTAATCTATAAGCATGAAATAAATCTAAGGTAAGAGGGTTCTAGCCTCTTGGATATTTAAACAATAAAATCTAACTACAAGCATGAAAATAAATCTAAACTAATGAGCAATAAAAGAGAAAATAAGAAAAACAAACCTTCAAATTAATAACCATCTTCATCTTCATCATCCAACAAAGAGAAGAAAAGAAAAATTTAAAGCGGTAAAAATTTTTGTGTTTTTTTAGATTTATTTGTGAACTGAAATAAGTAAAGGATTTGAATTATATCAACGTATTTTTTTATCCAATAACATGTTAAGTCTCATTTTAAATGTGATAAATCATTTAGTTACTAATTCAAAGAAGATAAGATAATTAGAATAGATTAGGATAACAATGTAATATTTAAAAAAGTTGAGGGTAATACTGACCATAAAAAGATTTTTCTGAACTCGTACTTTTAAAGAGAGTATGATTAGGTTTTATACACGTGCAATGCACGTGGTTAAATACCATGATTAAGTATTTTTAGATTACTTTCTAACTAAAATTTGTTTCTCAGTTCCACTTTAATAGTTTATGCTCACTTTTGTCTCTAAACTTTTATATTGTGATTATTTATTTTTCTTTAATGTTTGTTTAAATGGGCTACACCCAATTTAAATTTTCATGTTGATATTTGAATTGATAGAAAACAACTATAATTCGAAGATAATTTAAAAATTCATATTATTTTGACTAACACGAAACCAAGCTTTACTTGAGAAAGTACAATGTTGCAAAAGTAAAAAAATATTGAAATAATGTTATACAAGGAAGGTGAATATTTAAAACCAATAAGTCAAAATGATTGGTTAATAGTATGCTAAAACGATACAAAAGAGAATATAAAGTTTATTTCTAATCATTGATAGACCTCATAAAAAATTATAAATTAAATATTAATGCTAACTCTAGTATACTTTCATATGATAAAAGTATCTGCACAAGCATATAAAAGTACTAAAAAAGCTCATGAAACTCCCTTCTGATAAATTCCTAAATTCACTCAAAATAATTAAATTATTTTATAAAATATTCATAAAATATTCATAAAATATTATCTTTTATTCCTTATATTTTAATTTTTATTGAGCTAAGATCGATTATTCCTCACCTTTATCTTTTTCTCGGGCAATTCTAGAGTAGTGTCTTTATCATCTACTTGATTGTGATATCAGGATAGAGTTGTATTTTTTGTGTTATTTTTTTGTGTTATTATCTTTCGTGGACTCGTTAATCTTTTATCTTGTCATTTAACTTCACAAAGATGTTAAATGTATTTCCAATATTCAGCACAAACTTCACAAAGATGTTAAATGTATCATCTGCTCGAATTTGATTTTTTTTATTTCAATGAGAATAAATATTAATCTTATATATATGAAATTCTTTGTGTTTCTAATTTATTACTTAAATAAGATTAAGAGTTACCTTTTTTTTCTCTACAATAAATTCTTCCAATGTGCATCCAATAAGAGTTTCTGTTACGTCAATAATATTATATTTGCTCTATCCCTGTCATTTTCCACAAAGATATAAACTAAATACCTATATTTTTTATTACCAATTTTTCTTAGATTATAATATTAATATTTAATTTCTTTAGTATTTGAAGAACAAAGTATGAAATTTATGAATGCTTACTAATTTTTCTTATATCTTTCATAGAGAATTCTTCTTTGACTGGGATAAAGTTATTAAATTATTCTTCATTGTAACTCAGTTGGTGGTTCTTTAATAGACATCCCTTATGTTAATGCCAATTCAAATGATTTATGAACGTTTTCTGAATTTTAGATTTATTTTCGTCACTTTTCTATATGCAATGGAAATACATTGATTCTTTTGAAGGATATCTCTTAACATTCTGATAGTTTTTCCTAACATAATTCATTGTATTCTTTTTCCCTATAAATATTATTAATATCAGAGATTAATATTTTTAAATTATAATTAATTAATGCTAAAATATTATATTATAATCTTTTATCATTTTTATGGATTTAAACATCTATCAATTAATGTTACTAATGTGTTTTGCTGGTCCAACTTATTAATAAAATTTTATGAAGTTGCTTTAATTTATATGTTAACAATAATTTTTAAGCTATAATATTTTTTTAAATTTTTATTCCCTAACCGGATATTTTTAATCAATGCTTATTGCTTTTGTTTACCAATATCAACTTAGACTATCTTTAGATGCTGAAAAGGGATAATAAACCCTAAAATTTAAAAAAATTACTTTTAAGTTTGGTAGTTGTAACTTCTATGTTTCATGTGTCGGTGGTAATTTTTAAATGTTATGATATTTCTTACAACTCTAAAATTTTGAGGTTGTTTTTTGTAATTGTTAAAACTGTAGATTAATTTTTAAAAAATTTAAATTTTAGCGGTCTACCAATAGTTTTCAGATTTGATGTGTACTGGTTATAAATTTTAAAAATTTAGAGTTTTTTTATGATTTTTAAATTTTGAAAGAGTTTTTCTACGACTTTTGTAAGTTTGAGATTAATTTCGACAAATTATAAATTTTTAGGTGCATGAGGGTAATCTCTTAAATTCATCTTTTGTTGTTTGCAAATTTTAGAATTTTTAAAAATGTTAGTGTTGTTTTTTTATAATTTGAACTTTTGAGGGTATTTCTATAATTTTTGGGACATTGATGGTGTTAATTAAAAATTTTAAATTCTTTGGAGGCTGCTGTTAATTTCTTGATTTCATGTTTGTTGTTTTAAGTTTTGAAATGTCTGAAATTTTCATGCATTATGGTGGTAATCCATTGAATTCATTTATGTTATTAGCAAGTTTTAAAATTTTAGAATTTCATGTGCTTGTTTGTAATTTGAATTTTTGAGGGTGATTCTATAATTTTTGAGATATTGAGATGTTAACTGTAAATTTTAAATTCTTCATAAACTGATGCTAATTTCTTATTTTCATGTTTGTTGTTTTAAGTTTTTAGACATCGAGATAGTTTTTATAATTTTAAACTTTTCAAGGCGTTTTGTGCAATTTTAAAACTTTTGGGTTTTTTTAATACTTTATGTATTATAGTACGTTAGCTACGTATAATTTCTTTATCTTAACAAACTAATAACATAAAAATATTTTATACATTTTATTAATATTTTTTTAATTGTTAAGCTATAAATAGTTCACGTAGGATTAAGATAAGATATAATTATAATAGATTAAGATATAAATAAAATATTTAAAATAATGAAGGGTATATTTACCATAGAAAAAATTTTCCGAACTCGTGCCTTTAAAGGGAATATGATATGATATAAGTGTGTGTGTGTGATGAGTAAAGATTTTTGTAAAAAAAGATATATCATGGATAGCTCTTCCTCCATATTTATTTCCCAAACATAATGTTCCTCTTATCTAATTTTCCAGATCTTTTAATTATAATATTATATTAGTGTGAATTTTTTATATTATTGGCTTTTCATAGATAAAAAAAACTGTATGAAAGAGAGAGACAGACAGAGAGAGAGAATCATATCAACCCTTCCCAAGAGTGATGATGACATGACGCTAATGACATGACGCTAAATCTCGTTAAATAAAATCTGATATCAAATTTTATAAAAAGAACCCTCACAACTTCTTTAATAATAAACGACTCCCAAAATCTTAGCTTCAATAATCTGACAATCAATGCGGTTCACTCTCTTCCTTCATCGCTCTCGGTGCTTTTCATACCGCGCGAGCATGAGATTCTCCCTCCTGCATAGATAAATATTTTTTTGATACTTGTTTTTCGTCTAATCATTAAGAAAATTATTTTATGTGTATCGTTAGGAAGAAAGCTGGCAGGCCTGAAGATTGCAATCGTGTTGATCATTCACAGGCACTCACTAATTAGGCAAGGGCCCAAACCTACACTATTTAGCCCTCACAATGTAAACATGGCAACATGATTGAAGAATTTTGGAATTTTGAAGCAAGCCAAACATTATGAGATACTGAAGAATTTTGCATAGTCCTATGTTGAGTTAGAGAAGCAAGCCAATTTCCCTAGAAAATGCTTTGATGCATATATATAATGCTGCCTGGATATTTGTCAACCCAATTCGCAACGAAACTAGTTATGCAAGTAGTGTTAGTGATGATGCAGATAAGTAGTACTTATGGTCTTCTTAAGACAATCAAAATCATCAATAAAGTATGATGATAAGAAAATGAAATTGCCCTCATGTCTTTGAGGGCTTTTAATACGTAGAGTTCATGTTTTATGAGAATTATGATTTAATAGAAGAGATAAGAAATAACAATGCTCCATACTTTTCTGCTTCTCACATTTTACTCCAACTTCAAAACCTCTTTGTGCTGTCCCTCTCCATAATTTTCGATATTGTATGGGAAAATTTCTCAAAAAATTGAAATTGCATGCGGAGACTATTTTTTAGGGTTTCTTTACTGAGAAAGCCAAGTCTAGAGGAGGGATGTATTATTATTAAGCTAGTTGTTTATGAAATTGGCTTAAAAGTTTAATAGCGATGATTGCTCTTGATTTTATCTCTGTCTCTCTAAGCTTTTCTCACGCTGCACGACACCATCACCGGTAACTGAAGAAGAACGTCCTACCCCACAGAAAAGCATCCTGACAAAACCAAACATAAAACAAAAATAAGGAGAAACGAAGGGTACCGGTTGCGTCTTCACTCAAGAGGTTCTCAAAGAGTAAGGGAAGAATGTTATTCTACTCGTTACATGAACCACACAGCTGGCACAACACGCATAAGATAAGTTCTGACATACACAATACGTTCCGCTTTACTCAGCATTTTCTGATCATGCCCTTGTCAATCCAGCTTCTAACATTTCTTTCTCCATTGAATCGACTACCGGCTTTAGATCTTTCACAAAAGCTTCTTCCCTGCAACATCAAAAAGAATAAGATTAATACAGAAAGCAAAAGAATGAAAAGGGCACCCCTGAGAGTGAGACATTGTATTGTGCCTATGTTAGGGATTGGACAGAAACGTATAATCAAAGAACTGAAGTTACGACCCAGTGTAGTAACGGTTATAAGCAATAAGCAGCAATTCCAAAAATGCAAACTAAGAAAATTTAACAGCGAGTAGATGTACAGGCCGTCGTATGCCGAAGAACTCGTTTAGGGCAATTCAAGATATTTGAAGCAAGCCACGATTATATTGAAAACTGAGTTCACATGTTTATGCGAATTCTGGCGCATAAATATTACCCAAAGGATGAAAAAAGTCTAGTGGGGCGCTGACTGAAGCATTCAGTAGTTGAATAGCAGAAAAAGAGCCATCAACGTTTAGGCCTCCCAAAAAGAGGGACACTTCCCGAATACTTTGACTGATAAGTAAGAAAACTATGGTAATATCACTATTTCCTTTTTGTATCAGATAAATGCATGAGGCCATTTATTTGAAGGTCTTATCCCATGTTTAATTGATTATTCTGTTAAGTGCATAGCTATGAGCATACTTTCACACACATTCACAAAGTCTAATTTTTGAAAGGGTCTTATATTGGATGCTCCAAAACACTCAGGAGACCACCTGTCTCCAAACAATACAACTTCTACTCATAAAAAAATGAGTATAGTTTCCCCTGTTTTCTCAGCACGCTTAACATTAAAACCTCTAATTTGGTAAGTTAGAATGTCTGGTGTTTAAAACCTCCGAGTGAAAATGTTACAATATATATTTTATTGCTCTTTGGACAATATATATTTTATTGCTCTTTGTTTCAGAATGCCAAACAAACACATAAATGATGTACCCCATAATAATAATAATAAAAAAGAGGAATTTGGTAAAACTAATTAAAGAGACCAAGGTATAACTGCACACCTGTCAACAGCGCTTATGTGGAGATAGAACCATTGATGAATAGTACTGGGGGAAAGCACATCGAATTCATATAGGACATCAACAACTTCCTTGAACAGCCCTTGCAGTCGTTGCTCCTTGATGGATCGTCTATGGACTTGCTTAAGCAGCTCAAGTTCACACTCTTCAGTTATGCAAAATGCACGCAAAAGTTCGGACCACAAAAACACCTGTGGGTGAGAAAATAAAGATTCACAAAGTAATGCTGAAGGAACAGACAAATGCAAAACCTGATAGTGGTTATTAAATAATGCTCTTATTCAATTAATTCCATCCAGCCATGAACAAGCATTGCAACTTAATAGGCAAAAGAAAAACAATGTCTACAACCCAAGAAAACAAAATTTTATTTTATTTTATTTTATTTCAAATTTTTGGAGGGCGTGGAGGGGTTGTTTAGGTAGACAAGTACAACACATAAGAGAACTCAAATATGACTTCAGGCCCAAAAAGTATTGATATAGTCTGAGGCGTCCCTATAAGCAGAAAACCAAAACGTAAAAAGTGGAGGGAAAAATGATTTGCCCAAATTTTGTAAATAGAAAATTCTAAATAGATTGAGATATGAGTGAAATATCTGGAAATGAAAAGCTCCGAAACATCGGTGTTCAGTATATAAACAAAAAACCAAACAATTTGCTAAACAATGCATGCACAGTTCACCACCAGAGTCCCATCTGCCAAAAGAAGCCTACCAGCACAGGCTGAAAATTTTGGAGCTTTGGAGCATTGACGCCCTCTCTAGACCATAATAAGATAGAGGGACGTCAAACAAAATGCAAGTGGACTAGTGATATTTACTGTCTTCTTCCAGTCTAGGTATATTTTGAGGGATCTCAGTTTCTTGAGTTTACAGCGCATGCAGAATGTAGAACTAACGAAGAAAAATGGAAAAGCTGTAGGTGAAAATGCTAGCGTTCCAAAGGATATTTTTCACTTTATTTATGCACAGCTATCAAGAGCATCGGTACACTATATTACAAACATAAATTTTATTTTACAAGAATCAACAATCTATTTAGGTTTACAAAGAAACAGAGAGTACATATGAAGAGAAAATACCTTTGTTAGATACATAACACTCAAGTAATTCCGGACGCACTCTGACGTCTCTATAGATAATTGTATCCATTAGTGCATCCCATAGGATGGGCACTACTTCAGTATGAGGAATTTTATTTTTTTTCAATACCTTCAGCGATGGTTTTTATGACATCACGTACATCAAATTCCATAAAAACTTGATGGATTAATGCTGACTTCATCTCCTTCAAGGCCTTGAACATGTCCTTTTCAGTCTGAGCTATCAGACTCTCTTTGCTGAAAATTCACCATAGAAAGAAGTTCAGAGAAAAATGTCAGCAGAAACTACATAGAAATCACACACAGATGGTAACTCAAATCGCTCTTCCAAAATCATCTATAATAGTATCCTGCCTTCAATACTCTTCCAATCTCATCCAATTGAGACCCTAAAATTTGTTTTTCATAATCCAACACACTCCACGACAAGTCAATATTTGGCACCCAATTCTGGCACCAATCCAGCATGCAAATTACAACGGCTAACATTATGCAAACGGTCGGTTTCATTAGTTCTGACAAAATTTTGCCAAACCAAACAAAGGCGATGTAGCTTCAAAGCCGAACAAAATTAGTTCACTTCTGCTCAATTCCATCTATGCGCTTTGGACTTGGACCATTAAGTTAAAAACATAAGCTATGTTGACCCAAAAGAAAGAAGCAAACCAAGAGAACGAAAAAGAAAACACGTGGAATAAGGGATCAATGCAAGAAAATTGCATATAAATTAAAATTGTAGAAAAAAAATACACTGAGGAAAAGGTAGAAGGCAAGTTAGAAATAAATGAAGAGTGGGTCTCAAAAGAACCAAGAAATAGCGGTCAGTTTGGTAAGTTCATATCAAAATTTGTCAAATCGAAGCAAATCCAGTAAGTTCTAAAATTGAGCTGAAACATCGAGAAGTATAACACATGCTCAGCTAAGAAAAATGAAGATGAAAAGCCGACTGTCCAATTCTCATCATTTTGTAATCCTTGCATCCTACATGTCCATTCAAGGAATTGAACAGTAAATCAACAAGTGATAAATAATAATTAACTCTAGCGGTTTGCAGCTATACATGTGTCCTAAGTCTTATGACTAGACAAAGTACAAGGAATTGGTGCCAAACCATTGTACTTTTTGAGCACCAATTACCAATGTCACTGTCGATGAAGATGATAGATAATCTGATATGGCTGAAATAGGAATATAAAACACTTTAGATAGAGCAACTAGGAGACATTTATAAACTCGTTATGTTTACAAGATTTTCGGCATCAATTCTGTAGGGAACTAATCTGATATAAAACCAAAGTGGTAGTAGTAATAATAATAATAATGAAATGAGGCTAGAAAAAAGAAAAACCAATTGAAGTCAAATCATGGCATCTTTGAGTCAAGAGGTTGTGTGTCTGGGTAATTTCAAACTTTAGTTGGACTAGCTAAATATTGGAGTTAATGTGCATCTAGTACCTCACTGCGCATCTACTGTGGCAGAAGTTCCAACAGATATTTTCATTTATCGAGATACTACTCGAAAAGTATCGGTTCTTAATTGTCGCAAAGCAAAAAAAAAGAGTAAAAGTCGAACAACACAAAGTAAACACTTTTATACATCTGATGACCCCATAACACTTTTATACATCTGATGACCCCATTCAGATAGATGGTTTAAAGGTAGACAGAATGCATAAAAAAGAAAAATCGCCAAATTTTTTATATAGGATCGATAAGGAAAAGGAAATCTAATTAATTATGATGAATTTATACCTCACAGAAAAGTTTCACCATTGTGAAACCCATAAAAAGTTTGAACATTCTATGAATTTGGACATAGGATTCATGTGTTCTTTTTATTGGTTCTGATCCTTGAATTTTAACTGTCATACCTCGTGATCCAGAAGTCTGTCGCCAAGCACACGACATGTCTACTAGTGCTTTATCGACACTACAAAATACTAATAGGTACACTTCCACCTCTATCAATTCGAAACTGGACTATGATTAACGAAAGGGTTAACGAATCATCTACACGATTTTAGACTGTTATTATATGTGGTTCTAGATTAGTTTATTGTCCTTCATATTCCTCTTTTATGCTTAATTTTTTTGTTTAGACAAAAACCAGGCTTGTGGTGAACGAAGAGGTTTTAATTATTTGTGGACATCAATTATTGGTGTGTACAAATAAGTCAATGCATACTATATTGGGTTGGAAGTCCTTGAAACTAAAGAACAAGCCTTAGCTCAAATTAATCAAGTTTCTGCCCTCGAGAGGTCATAACCAACTATCCCGAATCTATGTTTTAGAGGAATGTCCTCTCTTAGAAAACAGTCAAGCATTAGGTCAAGTGAACACTACATTCCAGCGCCCTATGAATGATCCATATTCTCCAACCTACCATCTGGGTTAGTAAAATCATCCAAATTTTAAAAATTATTTCTTAAAATTTTATTTAGAGTTATCATAAAATAGTAACTTGAATATAAAACTAACTACGAATTAGAAAGTTTAAAAATTCATCAAGTAAATCATTATTAATTAACTTTATCAAGTTTGCAAGTGGCATATTGTTTTATTTTTTTATTTTTTTAGAAAAGAAATGATAAATGCAAACTTTATCAAGTTTGCAAGTGGCATATTTTTTTATTTTTTTAGGGAAATGATAAATGAAAGGATAAAATAAAGAGAAAAGATAACAAATCTTCACCCAATACCTAAATTTTACATTATCCTTAATGCAAACTATGTGATACAAAAAGTAAAGTAGATAAAAAATAAAACACTTACATTTGTTCAATCTTGAATGATGATAAAATAACAAATTTTGGAATTACCTTGACTTCTGATGGGTATGAGAGAAGGATGTAGCCAAAAAAAAATTGTCTCTCTTTTTTCTTTTTTTTCTTTTTTAATGAAACAAACTCTCCAAACAAGAGAATATCAAATTCTTTTTTATTCTTATTATTATGAGACACAGAGTAAAGATGTAGAATAAAGAATTGAAAATGAAAAGCTCACATTCCATATCAGTTCCTGCCTTATTGCTAAAAATTCTATCTTGAATTTTAAAGAAGTCTTACAAGAAAAACTCAATGATGTGCTTAGATTCTGATTTTTAATAATTTTTGTAGCATTTGATGGAAGGTTAATAGAGGGTCATGCATCTTGATTTTTTGATGTCTATCAATTAGAAATCTAGTCTCAGATTTGAACAAAGGTCCCACATGAATGAAAGTTTGTCCTAATAAAATCAGTTCTTCTTTAAGAATTTTCTCAGACCCAAGGTTCATGGTTGAAGCATCATAGGCCAATTGTTTCATATCTACTTGGATCCTAAATTTCATCAGCAAATAGTTCTTCGAAGTTGTGATCAATAAAACTTGTGTCTAAACCAGTACTTTTCTTCTTAAAGACTTATTTTGATTCTAACTCTCTTAACAACTTGATTTCTTAATCAAAGATCTTCTCTCAAAACTCAATCAAGCTCATGCTCTTCTGCTACCTATTTGGTAGGTATTTCCCGAATTAAGTTCACTTCTAAGGGTTGATCTGATGGATCACTCGGCTATTTTTCTAGATTAAAGATGTTGAGATATATGAAAGGAAAATCTGCGAAAACAAACCCCGGATATTAGAACAATCATGTAATTGCAAACAAATTACCAGTTTTTATATAAACAAAACTAGAAAACTTACATTTATCAGGTCCAGTGCACCCACGTCCTTAAGGAATTCAGCAAGATTAGCGTAGTCGCTGCTAAATGAAAACCCAAGCTTGAGTGTCTCGTTGTTTGTGTATATGAACATTAGAATGTCAAATATTGGTTGATATGGTAATTTCAAACAATCCAACAAAAAGATTTTGTATTCTTCATTGTTCTTGCTCTCACTTTTAATTTCGAGTTGTATCAATAACGCTACAGGATATCTACTGCTTTCTATTGTCATAAACCACTCGGTATCAATTGCCATAAACGATGCCTCTGCGATGCACACTTTGATCTTATCAAAGAGTTCCGACGAAAATTCCTCAACAAGATCATATTGGTACTCACGTAACAAGAAAATGTTGAGGTTTTCTTTTCCATCTTCTTTTTCTCCTGTTTCACCTTCTTTCGTCGAGACTAGTGGAGGTTCGGTGGGTTGAACTCTCTTAGAAGCAGAGACAATATAATTCATTTTCCGCACGTGAGAGTTCATCTAAGATGTCATAAAAATAAAAAAGACATTATTTTTGCCTCTGCTATATATCCAATAGCACATCATGAAATAATATATCCACTAGCACATGTCTATCTGCCTATCTGCTATATATCCACTAGCACATCATGAAATAATATATCCACTTGCCTATCTGTTATATATACATTAGCACATCATGAAATAATATATCCACTAGCACATGCCTATCTGCCTATCTGCTATATATCCACTAGCATATCATGAAATATTACTTTTTTCATTTTTTGTGACATCTTAGATGAACTCTCACGAGCGGGAAATGAATTGTATTGCCTCTGCTTCCGAGAGAGTTCAAGCCACCGAACCTCCACTAGCCTCGACGAAAGGAGGTGCAACAGGAGAAAAAAATGGACAAGAAAAACCCAACAATCTTCCCTTATTACGTGAGTACCAGTATGATCTTGTTGAGGAATTTTCGTCGGACCTCTTTGATAAGATCAAAGCGTAAATCGCAAAGGCAGCGTTTATTGCAATAGATACAGAGTGATTTATGACAATAGAAATCGTTAGGTGAACTCTCACGTGCCTATCTGCCTATCTGCTATATCCACTAGCACATCATGAAATATTACATTTTTTATTTTCTATGACATCTTAGATGAACTCTCACGTGCGGGAAATGAATTATATTACCTATCTACCTATCTGCAATATATCCACTAGCACATAATGAAATAATATATCCACTAGCACATGCCTATCTACTATATATCCACTAGCACACCATAAAATATTACATTATTATTTTCTGTGACATCTTAGATGAACTCTCACGTGCGGGAAGTGAATTATATTGCTTCTGCTTCCGAAAGAGTTCAACTCACCGAACATCCACTAGCCTCGACGGAAGGAGGTTAAATAGGAGAGAAAAAAAGGACAAGAAAACCCCAACAACCTTCCCTTGTTACGTGAGTACTAGTATGATCTTGTTAAGGAATTTCTGTTGGACATCTTTGAAAAGATCAAAACGTGCATCGTAGAGGCAGAGTTTATTGCAATAGATACTGAG